GCAGGTGCAGGGACGCGCTGTGGCGGGCCATTCTGCTGTCTGCCTTCTCCACAGGAGAAGTAATTTCTCCCTCCAGTGGGTGGGTGAGGTGAGGCAAGCCTTGACAAGCCCAGGCTCCGGGGAGGGATGAGGAGGGGAGAGGGGGAACCTGGAGAGGAGGGGAGAATGAGGGGGGCAGGCAGAAGATTGGCAGTGAGGGGGCAAAGCATGCGCCGGGGGAGCCCCGCCCCCCCCCCCCCCCCCCGGTTTGCTATGGCCTTGATTGTAAGATGCTTTGAGATGCTTTGAGACTCCTCAGGGTAGAGAAGGGCAGGGTATAAAAACCAACTTTTCTTCTTTTTGGGATTGTTAAATGCTCATCTTTGGAAACTCTCCTAATTTTCCCTAAGTTTTTGTTCTTCTATACAATTAGAAGTTGCAAGGCAAGAATTCTTGGGCTGAATTCACACATGCCCTTTAAAGCATTTTTGAGTCTTTCTGCTACACTGTTGATAAGTACAGGTGAAAAACAAAAAATCTTTATTCTTGATTTGGAAAAGTGAAAGACATTTATTAATCCACTTTTACTGAGTTCTGAGTCAGTTGGTGGCCAAGTGGGAAGGTTGATTTACAGCTACATTTCAGCTTGTGGCTTACACTGTGCATGGGATTTGAATCTTGGATATATTTCTTTGCAATCTGACCTAGTTTGGTGTAGTGGTTAAGTGCGCGGACTCTAATCTGGGAGAACCGGGTTTGATTCCCCACTCCTCCACTTGCACCTGGCTGGATGACCTTGGGCAAGCCATAACTCTGGCACAGCTGTTCTTGAAAAAGAGTAGTTTCTGTCAAGAGTTCTCTCAGCCCCACCTACCTCACAGGGTGTCTGTTGTGGGGAGGGGAAGGGAAAGGAGTTTGTAAGCCGCTCTGAGACACCTTTGGGTAGTGAAGGGCAGGGTATAATTCCAATCTCCTCTCTTCCTCCTAACAGCAACAACGAAAGGCTACTGCAGAAAAGGCTCTTGAAAAGTACTGAGACTTACTAGTGATTTCAGCTCTCATACTTTATTTCAGTTCAGAACATGACGAGAGTGACCAGCTCGCAGGCTGGTTTATATGTGCATAACCCCGCACCTCCAAACACACCCACACACAAGTGATTGGCTATTTACAGTGGCCGAGAGTTCCATAGGTTCTCGGCCAGGAGCCTGGCCTGCCGATAGGTGCCAGCTGGGATCCGCTTGTCCCATTGTTCTTGAGAGCGAAGCTCTGTCACTTCGCCTGACCGCGTGGCGAAATGGCCGCGCACATGGTCTGAGATGGGTACATTACACCCCTCCCCCCTTGGTCCAAAAGACACCCACACACAAAGTCCTGCAAATAGGAGGGGGTTTTATGGGTTCTCGTAGAGCGGCGAGGTGCTGGAACCGGGGCAGAATAAGCCACCGGAGCGCTCAGCTGTGAGATGGGCGGAGTTGGCGGTTGGGCTGCTGGTTTTGTTCAGTGTTCACTTGTAGTCCACACAAATCCGCACATTGCCATTTGGCTTGACCGGGGTGACTATCGGAGTCTCCTACCGTGCGGCCACCAAGCGATCTACCTCTGCCTCGATCTTTTGCCTCACTGCAATAGGTGGTTGTCTGGCCTTAACCGGGATGGGGCGGATAGCTGGGTCGAGGTCAAGGGAAATGGGGTTTCCTGTGTAGCGGCTGAGTGTGCCATCGAAAACCCGGGGGAACTCATTGCAAAGTCCGCTGCCCGGAGCTGATTTGCCCCCGCGATCATCAATCCCAGGGGGCCGAACCACGAAAGTCCCAGCAGACTGGAGAGCCTCCCCCCCCCCAAGTCCAATTTACCGTGGAAGTCCTGAAATTGCACTGTAAACTTGCCCCAGTCCCGAACCGCCACAGGGTTTTTGTTAAAGTCCCGTAACTTAAACCCCTGTGGCTTACACAGAGGGGGTCCCCCCCCCGTGGGCAGAGCGAGCGCAGCGTTTCCTCCGAAATGATGGAGTAGTTAGAGCCAGTGTCTATCTCCATGCTGCAGGGGGACCCCTCTATAAGCACCGTCACATGCATCTTATTGGGGCTATCAGGGGGGGAGCAAGTTACATACCTGGTGCTGCTGGTGGTGGGCAGAGAGGGTATGGAGGTCAGTGGGTAGATCTTCTGCTGTCTGGTGGGCCACAGTCTTTTGAGGCCCAGGGTTTTGAGGCTGTCATCGGGAACGGCAAACCCGGGCCAGATGGCATGGCTTGTTGCAGGAGCAGCAGACGGCATCCCTGAAGCAGCAAACCCGGCATTTGTGTGCCTCCCCACAGCTGGCGCATTGGGACAATGCAGAGGGGGCTTTGGCCGATGGTGCTCCCCCGGGGCAATGCTGTTGGTAGGAATGGCGGCGGAGCACTTCCTTGTTCTCGGAGTCGTCCGACTCGAGCGTTGCTTGTGTGCGATGGACCGCCCACATGTGGCGGTCTTGGTGTGTCGTAGGCCGCGGCTTCCCTGAGTGCCTTGTCTAGGTCCAGGTCGTCCTGGCTAACCAGTTTCCTTTGGAGTTTGGGCTCCCGGAGAGCCAAAAGGAACTGGTTTAGCAAGGCATCCGCCAGGTGAGGAAATAAACACCTGGTGGCCGCCCGCCGCAGCCTGGCCAAGAACTCGGAGGCCGGCTCGTCAGGCCCCTTGATCCACTCAAAAAAGTCCATGCACTCAGCAAACTTTGTGGCTTTGGTGAAAGGTGATTGGTCAGCGCTTTCACCAGTACCACATAGGATTCGTCCTTTGTCTGCTTAGGCGCAATGAGGTCCTTAAGCAGCAAGACAGTGTTGATGCCACAGGACAGAAGATGAGCTTTTTTCTTACCCGGGTCTACGATGTCGTGGCAGTCGAAATAGCTCTCCGGGATCTCAAGCCAGGTCTCCCACTGCGTGGGGCAGGAGATGTTGAAAGCGGCGATGCTTTCCTGGGAGGTTGCCATCGTACTGCTTCCACGTGGTGAGGGTAGCTCGGGAGTAGTGGCAGCAGTGGCAGCTGGAGCGAGGCAGGAAGCGCTGTTGCTCTCGGGGTCAGCAGGGCAAGGTACGGAGCAAGGAGCGGAGCGGTGAGCGGCAACCGGAGAACCAGGGTGCAAAGCGGAGCGGCTCGTGGTGGTCTCGGCATTGGGGCTCGATGCGGTGCTCGAATCTTCGTCCGGGTCGTTGTTCATGGGAGTTAGAATCCCACCTTCGTCCCCAGTGAAAAGTACTGAGACTTACTAATGATTTCAGCTCTCATACGTTATTTCAGCTCAGAACATGACGAGAGTCACCAGCTCGCAGGCTGGTTTATATGTGCATAACCCCGCACCCCCAAACACACCCACACACAAGTGATTGGCTTACAGTGGCCGAGAGTTCCATAGGCTCTCGGCCAGGAGCCTAGCCTGCCGATAGGTGCCGGCTAGGATCCGCTTGTCCCATTGTTCTTGAGAGCGAAGCTCTGTCGCTTCGCCTGACCGCGTGGTGAAATGGCCGTGCACGTGGTCTGAGATGGGTACATTACAGCTCTATTGGGTGATGAAAATACTAGTGACCAGAAAAGTGCCAGAAATCTGCTTGATAATGGCAGAGTTTGGAAGTTCAATTGTTATCACACTTGCTGATCTTTGATTGCCCTAATATAAAAAGTGTGCCAAAATTCAAATGAGGAGCATCGACATATATCATTTCCAAACCATTTATTCAGCAACAGTGAAGTATTGGTCAGCCTCATCACTTCTTGACAGAGCTGCTTGTTAACTCTGAATCTATGATGGGTAATAATAATATAGTGGCTAGAACATCCAGAAAATAATATTTAAAATTCAGATAGGCTTGACTGGATTACACAACAGTAAACAGAAGCAGAATTGTGATGTCAGTAATTGTTAAATTCACCATGGTACTTTCTACAGTATCTCAACAGATAAATTTCATATTTGGAAACATAGGGGTGTAAGCCATTGCTCCATACTATGGAAAACAATGTTCACTGAAAAACATTGTTTCCAGATCACTTGACAAACAAACAAAATACACCTGCACCCACTGAGCCTAGTGTTTATGGTTTGAGCATGTTATTACGTTTGCCCCTTGTACAGTGAATGTTCGCCCATGGAAATTAGAGAAGTCCCTTCCTCCTACCTTTGCCAGCCTCCCGATGGGGCCTGGAAATCTCCTGGAATTACATCTAATCTCCAGACAACATAAATCAGTTGGGGGGGGAGGGTGAGCTAGAGGTTGGGCTCTATTGTATTCTACCCTGCCAAGGTCCTTCTCCTCTCCAAACCCAGCCCTCCCTACACCCCACCCTTAAATCTCTGGGAATTTCCCAAAACAGAGTTGGCAATCACATGATCACCAACAGATAAGAAGTGTTTTTGTGACCCTTCCTATACACTCTATTGGCAAGCTTAATGTTCTACTTTTTAAAAAATAGCAAGTTCTCCCAAAGTCAAATGACCTATACAGCTTACGCAAAAATGTCTGCGTTTTAAATTGACCCTCTTCTCTACTACTGTAGAGGCGGAGATGAAAACTGGAACCTGACGAAACAAATGAAATGGAAGTGCTATTTTTTAAACCTCATACTTTAGCCGCTTCTTCACAATCTATCTGCAGTGGGGAGGGGGAGGCGCCTTTCCTCTTTAGCTCGCTTTAATTCCCCTCATGATCCCTTGATGAAATCTTGCAATCTCTGAAGAAAAAACCCCTGTCATCTGCCATAGTCAAAGATGGCCGTTTATGCTACATCAACCAAAATGTCATTACTTCTTGCATCTTCCCGACCTAAACCAACATGTCCGCTCAAGGAGAGGGGGGGGGGGACCTGCCCAAAACAAAAATGGAGAACGCAGCAACAACGACTAATTTGCCCTTATGCAAAAGAGCCGCCGACTCTTCTGGTGAGGAAGAGGCGGTCTAGAGGGTAAGGGGGCGTGTCCGATGCCAGAGGAGGGAGGCGTGGCTTCCATGAACCGGAAGTGCCGCGCTGCTTCTCTCCAGCTGGTTGTCATTTCGATCGGAGGCTCGGTCCTGTGGAGACGGCGGCGGCTGAGGCGGCCGGGCCGAAGTGGTGAACTGATAGTACAGCCCAACGCCTCGCGACTTAATAGGAGCCTCCCTCCTCCCGCCCGATAAACGTTTGTTTTACATGAGGGGCAAAGAACGACGCCGGGAGGAGCCGAGGCGGAGGAGAAGAAGCAGCAGCAGCAGCACCACAAACAGCCCCGGAGCTTCGGCAGCAGAACCCCTGGGAGCCGCTACCACCATCTCCTCTTCCTTCTTCTCCTCAGGAGCCAGGCTCGATACCGCCCCTCCCTGCTCTGTCGCCACCAAGCGATCCTTGTGACCCTCCTCCTCCCTTGAGAAACCGGCTCCCATGGGGGAGAGAGGAGCCCGGCCCCCCGCCAGCGCCGTCCCCTCCCCGACGGAGACTGTTCCCCTCCTGAGGTAAAGTCCTTCATATCTTTCCCTCTACCGGTGAGGGCGAAATCCTTTCCCTGTCCTGTGTCCTCCCCTCCCTAAGAGAGAAGGGGCGGCACTCCCATCCCCCCCCCCCCAAGGGATTCATCTGAAGAAAGCTCTCTTCTCCTCCTCCCATTTTCTCCCTACAAGGAGCTCCCCCCCAAAAAAAGAATAAATTATTTTTGCTGATGGCTTTAAAAAAGCCTAACCTCTATTCCCCAAATATCCTGCTCTCTCTTTCTCCCCCCCCCCACCTTGACTGCTGATTTTCTGAGGTGAAAATTTTCCTCTGCAGGCAGCCAGGATTCATCTGAAGGACACACAAATATCGGATCATAATAGGAGGCGAGCTTGGAAAAGCAGCAACGCAGCAAACAGGAACCCACCCTACAGCAGCAGCAAGAATCCACCCTCCTGCACAACTCAATCCGTACACATACACACAACACGCACTGAATGCCGATGTCTAGAGATTAAAAAAGAGAGAGAGAAAATCTTCACCCTCCCTTCCCTTTATATAGAAAGGATTTGTCAGAAAGGCATCCGCATAGAACATATTATATGTGTAATATAGTACAAGGCAAAAGCAGCAGCACAGGTTGGGGGAAAAATCTTTCCATTCTTAGCAGCAAAGACTGTTAGAATAGAACACAGATATATATTAGAATATATAGAATTTATTAAATTATTCCAGATTTAAATATATTTTTGGAGCTGTGAAGGAGTGTCATGATATCGTTTTTTCCATTAACCCTTACATGGACAGGTTGAGGCTGTTGATAAGGCAAAAACAGAATAGTTAACAAAAAGAAAACTCTTAATTTTGTTCTCAAGAGCTTTGTTTCATCCCAATTTCGTTCTCGCGCATTTCCTTTTAGGAAAGGAAACCTCTTATTTTGTTAACCAAAGATTTACTTTCTGTTCCTTCTGGCTAAAGGAAGGAAGCAAACACAGATTGACCCATGTCAATATTTTAAGAGATCCCACTTGTAGGAAACCAGGAATAACATCCAAATCAGATATTTGTGTGTGGAAAAGAAAAGGGGTAGAAGACCTGTAAACAAAGATATTTTCTAAGGAAGGAAGAAACATTTTTTAAGGTTTGTTTTTTCTTTTCAGGCGGAATTCAAATCCTAAATATAATAAATGGGGGATTACGGGTTTGGAGTGTTAGTACAAAACAACACCGGGAATAAGTCAGCTTTTCCAGTCAGATTTCATCCTCATCTGCAACCACCACACCATCATCAAAATGCAACCCCCAGCCCTGCTGCTTTTATAAATAACACAGCTGCCAATGGCAGTAGTGCTGGGTCAGCTTGGCTTTTTCCTGCTCCAGCTGCCCATAACATTCAGGATGAGATTCTGGGGTCAGAAAAATCTAAAACTCAGCAACAGGAAAAGCAAGACTCCCTAGAAAAACAGCAGCTTTCCCCTAGTCAAAGCCAGGAAACAGGCATGCTGCCTGAATCCGAGAAAGCTAAATCTGAAGAAAACCAGGGGGATAACTCTTCCGAGAATGGCAGTGGAAAAGAGAAAATAAGAATAGAGTCACCAGTGTTAACAGGATTTGACTATCAAGAAGCTACAGGGCTAGGTACTTCAAGCCAGCCCTTGACATCTACTGCATCTTCTCTGACTGGTTTCAGTAACTGGTCAGCAGCTATAGCGCCTTCTTCTTCAACAATAATCAACGAAGATGCAAGTTTCTTCCACCAGGGAGGGGTACCTCCTGCTTCAGCTAATAATGGTGCTCTGCTGTTTCAGAATTTTCCACACCATGTCAGTCCTGGCTTTGGAGGTAGCTTTTCCCCTCAGATTGGACCCCTGTCTCAACACCACCCTCATCACCCCCATTTTCAGCATCATCACAATCAGCATCAACAACAGAGGAGGTCTCCTGCAAGCCCTCATCCACCTCCATTTACACATAGAAATGCTGCTTTTAATCAACTGCCTCATCTTGCTAATAATCTTAACAAACCACCTTCTCCATGGAGCAGCTACCAAAGCCCATCACCTACACCATCTTCTTCATGGAGTCCCGGTGGTGGTGGTGGATATGGTGGGTGGGGAGGGTCCCAAGGCCGAGACCACCGCAGGGGACTGAATGGAGGAATAACACCCCTGAACGCCATCTCACCCCTAAAGAAGAATTTCCCAAGTAATCATATCCAGTTGCAGAAGTATGCACGGCCCAGCTCTGCTTTTGCTCCAAAATCTTGGATGGAAGACAGTTTGAACAGAACTGACAATATCTTTCCTTTTCAGGTGAGATTACTAACCCTAGATTAAAAATATGTGAATATGTTAAAGATTGTATACATTACATGGATGTGTCTTTTAACAGTGTTTCCATTATTAGAACTGCATGGGTGAGGGCTTATCTTAATTTAAAAAACACGCATTAGCATGTAGCTCATTCCCCTAATATTTCGAGCTTCACAATTGCCGTATGTGAATCATGGATGCTCTCTGCAGTGTATGTTAGAGGAAAAATTGTAGTCAAGTAGCTCATCTACTGTACTTAGAGTGCTCTTGCTGTCGAATTACTGCACCTGATCATTAAAACAGTTGCAATAGAGAATGCTGCAACTGTAGCTGTAAGTGATGAGACTAATACATTGAATATTTTAGGGTTTTTTGAATAGTAAATATTTTGTGTGAAGTGAGCAATTATTGGACCCTAAAACTAGTGTAGTAATACACATTTGTGGCTCTGTGATACAGACTTTCTCTTTGATCTAATCAGCATTAATCAGCATAGTTTTCTATTCTATTTGACATTATTTTTCTCATTACTAAGTGTTAAACTGATGTCCTCTAGCAAGGGCAATGGATTTTGGTGTTAGATTATAAATCATTACTAAAAATAGATGTCGACTAACTTGAAATGTTGGCCTGGTTTAATCTGGCCTTATGCTTTCTGGAAATAAGCTGCTCACCTCAAATATACTGGAATTTTTATTCCATTTAGTAAATATTAATTATGATTAAAAATGCAAGCCAGATGATAAAATGAAAATATGGCCGATAGCAGTTTTTGTATTTGTCAGATGTGGTCAAGCTTAGTAGATATAGTTATTTATAGACAGGAACTCGAAACTCAAGGATTCATGGATGGGGTATGTAAAAAGGAAAGATTGCAAAATGATTGTTGTATTTCTGGTCATGATATAAGCCAAAACATGGTGGCCTAGATTTGTTGTAATTTGGGATGGAAAAGCTGTTGGATCAGAAGAAGCCCATAGTTGTCTTAAACACTGTCTTAAAGATCTAAATATGTTTTATAATTTAGTTATACGGCACAGAGAACTGATATTTCTTGTACTATTTGGCATGCATGGCCTATGCGGCTCTCTGTTAACAGCACTTTCATTAAGAGGTGTTTTAAGTTCATGCTGTATAACCAGAAGTCTTGAAATAGTTTTAAAGACTAGAAGCCATATAAAATGTTTATGTAGAAGCCCAAATTTAGGTAGTAAAATCGATTAGTATGAGAAATCAGGTTGTAGTTCTTTTTGAACCTCACTGCAGCAAGTTCTAGCTTCCATTTAGTTCATTTTGTCCTGTGGTAATGTGGCAGAGTGTGTCCTTCCCTCCTATGATTAAGGCTTCAAATCTATGGATGTCAGTGGTGGATATTTTTTTCTTGGCATACAGAAATATAAGAATTTAAACAAAAATGGCACACAGTTTCTTGGTTGCAGTATTAGATACTGTGTTCCTGATCCTGATGCACAGTGCCAAACAAAAGCAAAGTATTTTAATAAAATATTTTTCGGTTGTGCATTTCCATTTATCTTTCGTGATGAAGAAGAAAAGTGCAGGGCATCAAAAGAAGTGTCTCACAGTGCCAGTGAAGGGAAAAAAACACAATGATCCGATGAATTTTAAAATGATCTTGGGCATCTGCGTTTTGCAGTGTGAAATACATTTTTTCTTCATACAACAGGGATGATGGCTTCATGGATACCTAAAAGCAAAAGTGTTCTCCTGGATTTTATCTCATTGATCAAGCAAGCATGCAACGTATATATAATTCAAAGCAAAATATGTGTGTGAAACTTCATGAAATGAATGATCCTAGAGACAGCAGTTCTGTTCTGCTAGAATCTTTCTGGTTCCATATTTAGTATCATTTCACAAGCTGTCTTAGCAGCTATAACAACAGAATGGCTCATGCACATGGCAATGTTACTTGGTCCTGATTAACTTCCTCATCTGACCAACCTATTTTAATACATCTATAAACAAGTAACTTTTAATAAGTAGCCATCCCTTCCCCTGCAGCCTTCTCTAAAAGGGAATATTGTAATGATCATATTAATGTTATATGATCCTGCTTTAGAAGAAGTGGTCCACCTGAAAAGTGTGAAATATGCAAGTGACTATTCCTTAGGAGTTGCATCTTGTAGCAAGTGATCCTACACTAGTGACAGAGAACACTGTATAATCTTAAAGCAAATACTTAGCAAGGATTGACTTAAAATATGTGTGTTTCCATGTGCTTTTGTTTGCTGTAGTATGGTATATAAGTTTAGAGGCTGTACTTAAAATAAGATGGTAATTGATGACACTTCCTGGGTAGATGTCCAGGGGCTAGAGCATTAGACTTGGATCTTGGAGATACAGATCCATATCTTTGAATGATCCTGTGAAAGTGCCTAGGGATGTGTTGCTTTATCATGCAAAGGAAATAATGAGGATTCCTTGTCTAAAAGGTAGTATGAGGATAAACCAGATTTTGCTTGTCCTGAGCTTTACAACAAGCACACAGGGAACACAGCTAAGTTAGATAAACACAAAAAACACCGTGTTGAAATAATAAACACAAAATTCACATGTACTTATAGCTAAATATATTTGCTTTTTATACACAACATCAACTCTAGTGTATTGTAAACACTTTCAAACTAAGTTATATAACATGAAGAGTCCAACTGTCTTCTTGATGGAGGATAAATACCAATGTACAGTTATTTGTACCAAACAATGCAGCAACCTATTGTACATTTCCCAAGTGATGATCCATCAGGTAAAGCTAGCAGGCAGCTTGTATTTCTCACTGTGATGATTCAGCTTAGCAAGCAAGCCTAGTAGATGTATTTTCCCATGAGGTGATTCAGCTTTAGCCTGGGCACAGCCGTACATAGGATGAGGTGCTAGACTACTGAAACTGAGATGGCATCATTTATATCCAATAACAGGACCCAGTCCTACCCCTAGCAGCAATGATTGGTACTACTGCATCAGTGTTTTCCCCTGGTGGGATGCTGCAGTGCTGCATGAAAGCTTTTGTACTATGCTGGTACACAGGAGACAGGATTTCCACCAGTTCTTTGAACAGCACTTGCTGGACCCTGTAGAGCTTGGACTGTTAGTACAATGTTTGACACTGGTGAAGGTATTTGAGAGCATCTGTGCTGGGAGCTTATGCCAGAATGCTGGAATGCCATGCAATGTAGTTATAGTTGTACAAGCCAATGCTCAGAGTGCTACAACTAAAGAATTTCTGTAGGTTCAGAGAAGGAAAAAACATTGTAAAACAGTTATACAGGTTACTGCCCATCTGTGTTGCTCTCTGTTTAAAGGCATGAAAGTTAGTGTGAATATTTCCCCCTATAGTTTCCCAAACACAAATATTATATGCTGTAAAATGTAATGTACTTGTGGTTCTTTAAGCCCCCCCTTGTCTTAAAGTGGTTAGAATGCAAATGCTAAAGGGAGAGCTGCAACTAGAGCCAGCATAGCCTTTATTATTGCTTACGATCCAATCTAGAAAGCAGAATGGAGCTATGGAAGCTGAGTGTATGGTTTCCTCTCTCTTTTGCCTTAAAGGGCCAGTGGTCCTTAAAGTTTCAGAGAGCCATTAGTGTAGCTGACATAGCACTCATGGTATTTTTGCCTTGGCAGTTGTACTAGGGCCAAATCTTTGGATAGCACAGAGTGGCATAGTGGGATCCCATAATGGTTTCTTAGCTGCTTATAAAAGCAAATTTTACTATAGGAGCATGTATGATTTGCTTGTAGATCTCCATATATTACTGGATTTACAAGGCAGAGATAGGCATAGTGCTTTGAATGCTTGAAAGTGCAATGGAAATGCTAAGATACTTTGCATTCTTTCTATACTTTCTTTAAAAAGACACGTACAAGATCAAACCAGTTGTCAGAACTGGAAACAATCGTCTAGGGATTCAACTACAGATTAATCTCACTTCACATAGATTCAAAAATCTTAAATCAGTTTTTTGGTGTGATATCAGTCAGTGATGCTGTCAGTTGCACTCTAGCTGAGAACACAGGGTATAATGGTAATAATTCAGTAAGGTGAGGGGGGGGAAGATAGTTAAAAACAGAACTCTTCATATTTCACAATATCTGCATTTTTAGACGATTGAGTTTTTGAAAGTTGGGATGTTTGTAGTAATTGGGGTTGTGTGTGTGTGTGTGTGTTTTTTTTTTAAATCCTTATTTCTACTCCATCACTGTTGGAGACCAGGAACATGATAGAATGGTGATAGGAACGAGGATTTACAAAGGCACTGCCTTCATGATTGTGAAGACTTGCTTCCTGCTATGCACTTCCTTGTATAAGCAGAACACTCTATCTGTTATGTAATAAAGGAGGTAAGGCTGAAATAGGAAAACAGTCCTTAAGTCTGAACTATAAATCTAGCAGTCATCTACTTGTTACAGCAGCATGTTTAAATGTGAGTTAACCATGATGAAATCCATTAATTAAAAGATGTATCTGTTTAACACATGTCACCCTTTGCTGTTAAAGAAATATTTTAAGTAAATGCCAAACTGCTGTTTTTCTTTTTCTGAGTGAGTAGTGTCACTGAAATCAGTAGAACGGTTTGCACAAAGTGGCTTCTCAGTAGTAACCAATGCATTCATTGTGTTATCAGTGAGGCCTTGTTTAAGATTTCCTGCTTTATCTCAAAAAAAACTTACTGACAGGGTTTTAACGATTTTGCTGTACTAAATAATTGAATTTTGATTAGATATTTTAGGTGTTTCTGAAATTGATTTATTTGTCCTAAATCTTTTGCATATGTTAAAAATTACAAAACTGTAGTCATTTTGTATTATGAGTTATTAAAATAGTAAGCAGAAGGTAGCTGAATGAGATTTATTTTGGACAGTGATAAATCTTGTTCTGCAAGCTGTTAGAACAGTCATTGGGGGTATACCAAACATAATAAAAAAAGTCTTCAGCCACTTCTGGAAAACAGCAATAGAAGGAGAAAGATGAATCTCCC